AACCTGTTTACCTCTTTGGAGTATGAACTGTCTTAAGTCATCTTCTGGTTTTCTTTTTTTAAAAATCCAGAAGATAGTCTTTGTTGGGCCTTAGTTTGTAAGTCTGTTGTATCCCTTTTGCTATTATAACTGACATAAGTTCCTAGGTTTTGGAGCTGGACACATATGTGGAAGTGGAACCTAAAAGAGAATCTTAATTTCAGCCTAGCCAATAGGCTTCAGGAAGTCTGTGAACTCCCTGAAATCATTAATAAAAAAACACCAGTGATGTCAGGTTTTCGAGAGTAACCATAGCCTTCGTTGGATTCTCAAGGAGCCTGTGTTTTAAGGAAAGATTCAGAACCATTTTCATGAATGAAGGTGTTTTTTGTTTTTCTTTTCTTTTTTTTTTTGGCTGGCCCAGGCAGGATTTAATCATACATAAAGATTTAAGAAACAGTTGCAGATCTGGCTGATTATAGCATTTTGGAAATTCTAGAGGGACTTCTAGACTCATTCACTCTAATTTCATCCTTATCCCTAGTTCTTTAATGCTTCTCTCAGGGCTAGTATATCATTACAAAAGCACCATCTTTAGTATAGTCCTAATAAATGCTTTCTTTCACATTTGTAATCATATTGGCAGTAATCTCTTCTGCATGGTGTTTCCTTATCTGATAAATGGAGACAGTAATACTTCCCTCAAAGGGTTTTGTTCTAGGCCGTGGAGAATTAGGGATTTCTACCCTTTCTAGGGAAGACCGTGCATTGATTCACTCATCTCTGTGAATTAGGAATTGCAGCATACCAAAAAAGAAAGTGGCCAAGACGAATTCATTCCTATCATTCCCTATCGAATATGGTGCCAGTGTCCAGATATTACCCACAGTATTTCTACCCTCTTCTCAAAGGACCCCTTTTCCTAGGCCCCAGAGTTTAATATGGCTCATTTGGCAGTGGGACAGGTGACAGAATGTGCCTATAAACAGCTGGGCCTCTGCCAGCCTTAGCAGGTGACCACTGGAGCGGAATGTGGTGACAGGAAGCAGAGATGTGTTTTCCCTTGATAACCCCTCCATCAGTCCCCTTAGGGCAGAAATCAGGGTTCACAGGGACATCGAGTGACTAGTCTCTTACTCATTAGGTGCAAGTTGTTCTTTATATTATTGTCTGTTATCTTTTGTTGCATTACAAATTACCAACTGAAATTTAACAGCTTGAAGACAACAAGCATTTATTATTTCACACAGTTTCCAAGGATCAGGATTTGGGGAGCCACACAGCTGGATAGTTCTGGCCTTGGGTCTCTCATAAGGTTTCAGTTCAGCAGCTGGCCAGGTGTGCAGTCATCTGAAGTCTTCACTGGGGCTAAAGGATTTGCTTGCAAGCTCACTGATGCAGCTGTCAGGGGGGCCCTTCTGTAAGCTGCTCAAGACAAAGTAGCTGGCTCCCTCCAGAGCAAGTGATCAGCAGAGAAAGAGAGAAAAAAAAGACAAGTGCTCTGTGGAAGCGTGGGTACCTTTTACTACCTAGCCTTGAAAGTTGCACAACACTCCTGCTTTATTCTGCTCATTAGAACCGAGTCACTAAGTCCAGCTCACACCAAAAGGGAAACAAAAATTAAGCTCTACTTCTTGAAGGGAAGCGTGTCAGGAAATTTGTGAACATATTTTCTAAACCACCACGATGATTATGGAAGATAAAAATGTAGGCAAGCATGACTTCTAAACCTTTTGGTTTGGCAGATTTGCTGCATGTTGTCCTTGTGGCAGATAGGCCACCAGTTTCCTAGACGGGACACGTAGACCTAGTGACCTTGGCTTAACAAAAATAGACAGTTGCCATGACCTATTAATCTTGTCTGCTTTTGTGGAAAGGAAAATTGTTGCAGACCTCACGCGGGAATATTTTTCAAGAGTTTCCCTTCGCAGATTGTTGTAAGGATTAATTGAGATGATGAATGTAGTGCCTGACCCCTAAAGAGTGTTCGTTAAATGGTAGCTGTCAGCCTTTCACCAAGACTTACTGCCTCTGCCTCTGAAATCTCTGCATCTCCTCATCTTACCTCCTTTCCCACCTGTTTTTGACTTCATCTGCACTACCACGATAGAATCCCTGTTTCCCTCCTTGTTTTCAGCCTCCTTGACATCTTCTTTGCTTTATGCAAGACATGTTTTTCTTTAAATCTACTCCTGAGACAGTGAAACTCTGAACCAATTTGACCGAGGTTTGGGTGGTGGGGGGCAGTTCAGTGAAAAACAAGGATGAGAGAGAGATAAAAATGTCATCCGGCCACAGTGGAAAATTGTCCTGGCACGGTTTCATGCAGAATGGAGAGAAGGGAATTAATATTAAAAATGAGCTTCCCTGTCAACTTAAACAGACACCTCATTCTGGTTTGATGACACATTGAATCATTCCATCTTTGGCAATATTTTCATAGGTCATTGACTTTGTACTTCATATTCTAGTTCTGAGTCTAGCTTGAGTATTTTAGCAGTTAAACTAGTGCTCTACACAAAATTTCCTTCCAAGCAAGATTTTTAAGGTCTAGTTAGAACTCCTGGGTGATCTATTGTGTTCATATCAGGGTAACATAGCTCTTTAATGTACATGCATTGGGTTATAAAATGCTGTGTAAATGTCGACTTCCAAGATTCATTGCTGGTGTATTTTTCTGTGCATGACACAGGCACAGAAAGTTTTTTAGTCAGTGAGGTGAAACCATGGTGGGATGTCAAGGAACCATCCATTCTGTTAACTCCAATCCTTTCCCACTGGCCATCTTATGGATGGATTTTCTAAGGAATTAATGATTAATAGCTGCCAACCCAGCTCCCAGACTCACTTTTAAGTAATTTGCAGGTCTTCTTCCCTGAGTCCTGTCATGTTTTCTGTTGTGTTGTTTCAACTTTTACCTCCTCTTGAATTTATGGTCGTCCACTTTTAAAATGTATGTCATTAACAACTGTGGAATATTCTTCCATCCCAAACAGAAGCAATTGGTCCTGTGCATAAGAATTGTCTCTGGTGCAAGTATGCCTAAGTGTCAAATCACTACTATGCCAGCCACTTTCTAGCTATGATATCCTGGACAATTTAACTTCTTTGTCCCTTGATTTCCTCATCTAAAAGATGGGGATAATAATCACCGTAAGTTTGCTTTAAAAATTCAATAGTTAATATATATAAAACACTCAGAACAGTTTCTGGCACATGTTAACTATTATGATTATTATCTAAAGAATGTGGGTCAGGATCCTGTATTCTCTGGTGAATACATCAGAAGAATTTATATTAAGTGGAAACTTATAAATGAACATTTTTACGGGTTATATCCAAATTAATCTTGGCAAACTAAACTATGGAAATAGAATTAACCCAGAGAGAAGCTTGAAATTCTTCCCATCACAAGGAAGGCCCAGCTCTGATTTTTAATTATTAATACATAATGGGGAAATAAGGTTGTTTGCTGTGATGTGCAGTGGGTTTACAGAAAACATGAAAAGTAGCTCAGCATAATTGGGGACAGTAATTTGAGAAAGAATAACCTGTCTTCAAGCTTTGATTCTTCTCCAGAGAGATGATTCTAACTGCCCCTACTTTGGATAGACAGACTCCATTGGACAGAATTTGTCCAGAGCCAGCTCGAAGCTGGTTGGCTTCTCTTTTGTCCACTCCATGTACTGTTCCCTTCCACTGATGCACCACTGTTTGTCCAGTGACCTGTGACTAGAGTAATGGGATTACTTTCTCCTCTAATACCTACTCCGCATGACCTTGCAGCTGACAGGAGAAAAGATTGGTTGGAACAATTTTCCTTAAAATCTGACTTATGTGATAGGCCTGGGGGATTAATGAACTTCTCTTCGGCCTGTTCAGTACATTCTGCTCCTTACATTCCAGAAACATCGTATATAGTGCCAAAGATACCCAGCATAAGCGAATCCAGTTTTTCTGCCTAATAATAAGAAATTCACTCACTGTTTCCCCCAAAGGTGTGCCCATGTGGAAGCCATACCTAGATACTGCACTGCAGAACTGTATAAGTGTTCAAGCTTAGGGTTCAGGAAGTTGTATGGTTAACAAAGAGCCCAGGTGATTCCTGTGCAGCCAGGCTTTGGAGAACAACTCAAAAAAATTATAGAACCAAACCAAATTTTTTAATTATTAAAAACTATACTAATGACCATCTTCAGAAAAGAATATAATGAAGAGGAATAATCCTTCGGTCTTCAAACATTTCACTGATCACTCAGAAAAAAAATATATATGCACATTAGCTTTTGCTCTGTTCATGGTCATAAATTCATTCTTAGAATATTGCTACCAATGTAATGCTCTTGCATTCAGCAAAAGTTCCTGTAGTATAGTAGGATGACTCCAACCTTTCTTACCTGTTATCCTCATTCCCATTTTGCCAATGCAGATGCAGAAGCTGAAGTCCACAGTCCCATCGCTGGTAAATGATGGGAATGGATTCCTTTGCTCTGGTCACCTTGGTCACACAGGGCATGACTTTATATACTATTTATCTCCGGGCCCCCATGTGTCCCAAGAATGCTATTGAGCAATAACACCCTGGGTCCAAATCAGGTGGAATAAAAGAGAAATTCAGATTTGGCGCCCTTTAGTGGCAATTTTATGAATATACTAAAGATACCCTCAAAGGGAAAGCACTAGACCTTCTTGTGGAATATCTTATTTAACTTTGGTACGATTAGAAGTGCTGTTTGACTGTGTGCACCGAGGACCTCTGTGAAGTTGTAGATCCCCACAGTTAAGGTCCAAAGCTAAGAACTACTGACTTTATAAAAATCAATATACGTATCAATACACTTTGAAGAGTGGCTATTACTAATGCAAAGTTTGAATAACCTCATTAGAAGATAACCGTGAATCATGTAGACTTCACACCTGGTCGTAATGATTTGAAACACAGATAAGCCAATTGGCACTTGGGCAAAGGATGTTTTGTTTTATTTACTTCAAATCAAAGCTAATGACCCAGGCAAATTTAAATGAACCCAAAAACTTTCATTAACCATGGTGAGGCTTGTCTGGAGAAAATTTATGTGTCTCTCTGTAAATGGGCCAATTCCTCCACAAATGCTACATGTGACTTAAACTCCCAGGGTGCAAATAAGAAAAGAGGCAGCCAGAGAGGAGATAGGCATGGATTTTGTGGGTGAAACTCTCAAGTTAGATCCAGTTTCTAAGCTCCCCTGTAAAGAGGAATGGGCTTCTTTCTCAGATACTAAGGCTGTTCTGAACTTGTAGACTAACTGGTCCCTAAACACAGAACATAAACTCCCCTCTAAGATAAGGCTCTCCTCTATTTAAAGCCAAGACTTAAAAAGACATTCCCAAGGGTAAAGTAATTTCAGCAGGTACTGAAATGATGGGCTGTCTGTCTGGGTTTGCGTTTCCCCCAGGTCACCTTTGCTGCTTGGGGGAGAGTCCAGCAAAAGGACCACTCCTGGGATTCCTCTTGTAAAAACCAAAAAGCCCCTTTCTCTTCGGAGGACCAGCCCAGATGCCTTCTTAGTATTTGCATATGGCTTTGGGGGCAAGACAGGACAGGGTTTTTTTCCCTGCCATATCCCTGGAGCCCTGCACTGTGTCCAGCATATAATTCTACAAATAATTTCTGATTGATGGAGATCCCCCAACCCAAGGAACTACATTCCTGACCAGCTCCCGCTACTTTGTCTCACCCTTTTCCATTGCTTATGACCCCCGAGACTCAGAAGAAACACTGACACGAAACGACACGCCTGGGTGCTATCCCTGCAGTTACTTTCTATACCAGAGAGCAAATACACACGCTGACCAGAGAGGCTGGCTGGCAACACCATGTGAGTGGGTCCACGGGGGAGGGTTCCAAGCAGGGAGGTCTGGTGTCTCCCACCCCCTGAGAGCCGCTGGAGCCTCACTCGTCAGAAGCAGAAGGGATGGGCTCCTCCTTGCAGGCGCCGTGCTTGGCTCGGTGTCGCTGGAGGTGGTTGGAGCGGGTGAAGGCCTGGCCACAGTCCCCGCACTGGTAGGGCCTCTCCCCGTTGTGCACGCGGACGTGCTGGGCCAGCTCCGAGGCGATGCGGAAGGCCTTGCCGCACTCGGCGCAGAGGAAGCCCTTCTCCCCCGAGTGGATCTGTTGGTGCCGCTTCAGGGTGGAGGAGCGGGCAAAGGCCTGGCCACACTCCGCGCAAGGAAAGGGCCTCTCGCCGGTGTGGATGCGCTGGTGGCGCACGAGGCGCGAGGGCTGCGCGAAGGCCACGCCGCAGTCGGCGCACTTGAAGGGCCTCTGGCCGGTGTGCAGCGTCTGGTGCTCGTACAGGTTGGAGGACTTGGTGAAGCACTTGCCGCAGGTGAGGCAGGGGAAGGGCCGCTCGCCCGAGTGCACGCGCTGGTGCTCCACCATCCTGCTGGCCACCGCGAACTCCCGGTCGCAGGCGGGGCAGCGGAAGGGCTTCGCGCCCAGGTGCGTGCGCTGGTGGCGCAGCAGCGACAGCGGCTTGTTGAAAGTCAGGCCGCACTCGGCGCACGGGAAGGGCTTGTCGTTGCTGTGCATGTTGCGCTGGTGTTTGCGCAGGTCCGAGGAGCGCACGAAGGCCTTTCCGCAGTCCGGGCACGGGTAGGGTTTCTCGCCAGTGTGGGTGCGGATGTGCTTGCGGTGGTCGGAGGACCAGGTGTAGGCCTTGTCGCAGAAGGGGCACCGGTAGGGCCGCTCGCCCGTGTGCAGGCGCCGGTGCTGCTGGAGCGTGCCGCGGTGGGAGTAGGCCTTCCCGCACAGCTCGCACGCGTGCGGCTTGGCGCCGCCGCGCGTCTCCGCCGGGCTCGGCGGTTTGCGGGCCTTCTGGAAGGCCTGGCCGCCTCGCAGGCACCTGTAGGGACGCGCCTCCGCCTGCCCGCCCTCGCGCGCGCCCGCTTGGTTCTGGCCCTTCCTGCTAAGACGCGCTTTCGCCAGCACCGCGGCTGCCAGGCTGGCCGGGACTGCCGAGCCCTGGGCGGGTGTGTGCGTCTCCCGCGTGGGGAGGTCCCAACTGCGCCCTGGCCTGGGGAAACACGCTGGGGAAGAGATGTCTGGGGACGCTTCGATGTCTTTCTGCGCACAAGAATACTTTCCAGTGCCCGGTAGGCTGGATGGGACATCCACAGCGGCATCCTGGTTTGCACTCCTGCATTCATCGTCGCCCGCAGGTAGCGAGTCCCTAGGAGGTTGCATCTGACCTAACAGCTTATGAGAGTGGCCGCTGGGAGGGGCACCCAGGGTCTGGGTGATCTTTGACACCTCTCTTCCCCAACCGGCCTTCCCAGGCATCGCCGTCACTTTCTGCCCCAGGCCCTTCCCACTGAAGCAGTCAGATAATTTCTCTTCCTCTTTCTCGGGTGGATGCTGGGAGGCCGGATTGTCGTGAGTTGCTGGGGAGCTGCCCCTTGCACGGGCCGCCAGGTCCCCAGTGCCCTCTTTATCTCCTGTCTCCCCACCATCCTCCTCCTCACTGGCTAAGTTCATGCGCAGCATCTGGCCGCCACGCGCCCCCTGGGTCAAGCTGCCGAGAGGGGACACTTCGCCCCACCTGTCCTGGGAGTCCACTTGTGCCATGGTGTTCGGGCACTTCTGTTGCCCACTCCTCCTAGGAAGAACCTTTGCTTGGCTCAGGATACCTGAAAATAGGGGAGTGAAAAGAGGAAATCACAAATAATGTACTTAATTACATTCCTGAGCAGAGGACTGAGGTTCTCACTATAGCCGTTTCCCACTGGTCTCCCTGCCGGGCATATGGTCGAGCCTTCCTGGGGAAGGTGGAGCTGGCCCTACTGAAAATTCCACACTCATCCTTAGTCCCTTTGGAGATCCCACTTGCTAGGGTTAGGGTTAGGGTTAGGGTTTTGATAGATACTATTGTTATTATATTATTATTTCCATTTTATAGACTAGGAAACTGAGGCTTAACAAGAGCACTTACCTGCCCAAGGCCACACAGCTCATCGACAGCAGCCCTGGGGTTTCTCTCTAGTTTCAAGGCCGTTATGTTAGGCCCTGAGCCATACTGTCCCCCAGCTCTGGCCTCCAGACGGAGGCCTGCCCGGGGCTGGGCCCTGCCCAAGAGCAGCCGCAGCACGCTGGCGGGGAGAGCTGCTGCTTTCTGCAGGCATCAAAGCCCCTTGTGTTTTCTAGGCCAAGGAACCCTGGCTATGAGGCCTCACCGCTGGGCTCCTCCCTGCCCTCATTGACCCAGATTGCCCTGCAGGAGGGAGAGGCCAGTGGCCAGCTGTCGGAGCCAGGACCCACGCTGCAGAGGCCACTGCCGGGGTGGTCGACAGTGTCAGTCACCCAGTATTTACCTTCCAACAGCGTCCTCTCTGCCTCCGCCCACCTTCCACTGCCTTCTCAGGAGGGATAGGGGGAGTGGGCTTGGTACTTGGTGGGTCCTCTTACCCTATCCCCATCTCAGCAAGCTGTCCTTCCCAGCCCCTGCCTGATCGCAAGCCCAGTTGTAGCGTGTGGGTGGAGTGGGAGGCCGTGGGGAAGAATCCGCACTTTCTGTTCTGGATATAGAATCCGTAGATGGAGGGAGGACACATTGCAGTCATGACAGGCATTCAGCGTCTCATGTCCCTTCGTGCCCTCAAGCCCAGGGGCCACTCCTCTTCCCTTCTGCTCTGTCCCTGTCACATATTAGAGGGTGGCTGCCATGCCTTTTGACAGGGACCCAGGTTTGACATATTTTCAGCAGAGTGGATCTTAGAAATTGGATGTGTGTGTGTCGTTATTAATAATACAGAAGACACACCACTAGCCAACTTTACATGACTTACACCAGCTAGCCTGATCAGGGCTGTGGTCCCCCAGCAGGGACAGCGAGGGATGCTGGATTTGCGTGGTACTGATTTCTGAGGTCTCATTCTCTCTCTGCAGCAACATGCTGTGCATGTTCTTGTGGCCCTGTTGACAGGTCACTTACTTCACCCACTCCCCAGCCCACCTCCGGCGCACATGCCCCATCTCCGCAGCCTGGGTCTCGTTGCCTTCCTCTGGGCCAACGGGTGAGCCTCCGCAGGGCAGCGGCAGCCCTCCGCCAGCTAGCCAGCCCCTCTGGGGAGCCTGGGGAGACTGCCTTTGCAGATGGGGAGCCCCTCCTCTGTCTGGTGCCACATCCCCAGGGCATATGTCCTGCTTTCCTCCTTCTGTAGCTGCCAGCAGCTCTCTCTCAACTGCCAGGAAAACCTGGAGGTGGGCAGGGGCCCCGGGTGGGACTTTCTGGCAATGTCTGTACAAAATATACCTGGTCTGGAAGAGGAACCCTGATGCCGTGGAGTGGCTGGCCCCTCTGCTCTCCAGATGTGCGGGCCCCAGAAGCTGACAGAGCACTGCCTTTTCCTGGAACTTTGTCTGCGCTCACCAAGTGCAGGCTCCAGCTCCCCCACCGCACACACGGCACTTTGCAGAAGTCTAGACTTCGGGCTTGTTCCAGCTCTGGCCCCTGCCCCTCTTCCTCGGTCCTTCCAGAGTGTACCAAGTCCATTGCAGGGCAGCCACCTCTCACGTTCTCCTCTGCCCACCTCCTCAGGCCTTGCTCTCCACCTCTGACTCAGACACACACAGTTGCTTACCTGGGAAATGGAGACAGCAGCAGTGTGGGGCTCCTGCCCTGGCTTCTGTGACACGCGGCCTCCCAGCACCAGGAATCAGAGTTGGGTACAAATCAGCAGAGATGGTGTCTCTGTCTCTTATGCTTTTGTGTCCAGTCCAGCAGCTGCAGAGAGAGCCTCAGGAGGTGGGGCCAGTGTAATACACTCAACCTTCCTGCCTGCATCCAGAGAGCAGCCTGGGAAATGGAGTGGGGCTGCCCTCTCTCACTGCCTGAACCGCTCCTCGCTCCCTCTGCTCCCGCCTCCCCTCCCTGCCAGAGCCAGCCTCCCTACTCCCTACCCCCTCCCTCCCTCCCTCCCTCCCCCAGTCCTCCTGCAGGTGGCCCTATGCCTCCTGTTCATTCTCACTCCTTCCTCCCACAGAGCAAGCAGTCCATCCTTCACTTCAGCCCTGGTATACCCATGGGCCACTTGTCACATGTGAGCTTGCCGAGCAGCTTTTTCTCTCCCTGGAAGGCAGAACAAAGTCCTTGGCCTAGACGTCCACTTCTCCTATTCTAGTACCTACCCTTTGCAGAACTGTGCATTGAGCAGGGGTGAAGGTTCCCAGAATTCTTTGCAGCAGCCCAGTCATTGGCTCAAAGATGCCCACAGTCATTAACTGGGAGTAGGGGTACAGGGAAATCGTGTTCTGCATTTTTCAGACAGATGCCAGGTATGTCAGGGTCCTCTCTTCATCTCTCAGCACTGCTTCCCAGGCAGGTTCATTCTGAAGGGAAGGGTTGGCTCAGGATAGAAGACTCACTATGTTCAGAATTTATACCCACTCAAGTCTAGTGAGCAATTTATTAGGATGACCATTCAGGACATTAAAATAGGAAATGGAAGTAAGGTACCTAAGATGTCACTAGGTGGCCAAAAAATATCCTGGTTGATTGCAGGGCCTGGGTCTATGTTTGAACCTTACTACTCACCAGCCACGTGTGGCCTTGGGCAAGTTACTTAACCTCTGTGTGCCTTAACTGCTCATCTGCAAAATGGGGCTTGGGATAGTAGCTCCATCATGGAGGTCTTGGGAGGACTGAATGAGGTAAAGAGCTTAGCACAGTGTGTGGAACAGAGCAAATGCCCAGAAAAGTTAGCTGCCATCATTGTTATTATTGATATCTTCACTATATCTAGGGAAGACAGGGTTCCTGGGGCTCCTTTTATATCCCCATGGCCCTGTGTGAGCTGAAACTCTGATAGGAATACTGGCACCCAACACACTTTCCTGAACAGCAATTTTCAGAGTGTGATCCCGAGAAGCAGGTTCCTCCGCCCGTGGGTGTTTTGTGGGCATGGCTTCAGAGGGACGAGGCAGGCAGCAGGGACACGCCTCAAGGTCTGTGAGTCTGAACATCTGGAACAGGGTTCAAATCCTGATGAACACAGAGCCCCCAGAATAAAGTGCAGAGTGTAGCAGATATGTGAGCGTGCACTCTTCTAGCAAGAGGATCCTTAGCAGTCATCTGTTTCTCAAAGGGTCATGATCCAAGAAAGGTTGAGAACCATTGGCACTGAGGGGGCAGGGGATCAGAAGAGCAGGTAAATCCTTAAAATAATTCCCATAGCAACGTTTCAGATGGTATTGCAACCAACCCATGTCCCAACGCTGTTGTTCCAATGTCCCAGGTGGCCAAATTGTACAGGCTTTGGGATTCAGATACCTTTGGCAAGAAAGTACCTAATTCCTCGTGGATTGGTAGAGGGGCCCGTGGAGGTGGAAGCTGGAGCTGGGATGAGTGTGAGTGTGTGTGTGTGTGTGTGTGTGTGTTCACCCCACTCGCAGCAGTGGTGCGCCTTCATTGAGCATTCACGAGTGCCAACACTGTGCTTGCACACCACACTCGATGTTCAGTCTGCACTTGAGCCACTGCAACCTAAGATTCCCAAACCCTGTCCCTCAGAGCCTGCATCCCTGGCTCTGCCTGACTTCCCCTTCATTTCCTCCTGGAAACCCTTAGTCCTTCCACTCCAAGGTTGTGTGACCTGTGTACATGTGGTCACTGTGGTCACTGCCTCAGAAAACATTCTGCTCCCAAACAGAGGGCTCCCACACATGCCTACCCATTCTTGTCCAGCCGTGACAGCCTGTTTTCCGCCGTGCTTTCTTTCTAGAAACCATAACAGTTGACTAGCTATCATATATATGTCTTGAGACCTCCATGTTAAATTGCCCATGTGACTCGTTGGTTTTCCAGACACTCTGGTGTTTCCATCTCACTGGTATGGGATGGGTCACCTTGAGACAAATGGGACCAGGAGTGGCCTGGACACTGGCCTGGCTCACTGGATAACGTCTCCCTGAGTCACCTACCCTGAGAGGTCCCCCAAGCCATCTTGCAAACCCTGCTTTGAAGTGTCACATACCTTTTCTGTCTATGAGGCGTCATTGTCCTCACAAGTCACACTCAGGGGGCTGAGCAGGCCGCAGAACTGAACTCCGGGTCTTGCTGGGACCAGTGGTCAACCTACTGCTCAGATCCCAGAGGACAGGAATCCCTTTCCTTTCCTGGGTACTTTTCGCTTTTGACAGCATGAATACATCCACCATCTCATTCAGTTTTCCCAGCAGTCGCTCTAAGGCCCACCAGACGTGGAGAGCTGAAGGGCCTCTCCCTAAAGGTCATGCCATTTTCCTTTCTTTAAAAACTTTTGGGATCTGTGTCATTCTGTCCATGCCCTTACATGGAAACAAGACAGGTGATTTATTTATTTTTTTTAAAATTTTAAGATTGGCCGGGCGTGGTGGCTCACGCCTGTAATGCTAGCATTCTGGGAGGCCGAGGCGGACGGATTGCTCGAGCTCAGGAGTTCAAAGCCAGCCTGAGCAAGAGTGAGACCCCGTCTCTACTATAAATAGAAAGAAATTAATTGGCCAACTAATATATATACAAAAAATTAGCCGGGCATGGTGGTGCATGCCTGTAGTCCCAGCTACTCGGGAGGCTGAGGCAGGAGGATCGCTTGAGCCCAGGAGTCTGAGGTTGCTGTGAGCTAGGCTGACGCCATGGCACTCACTCTAGCCTGTGCAACAAAGTGAGACTCTGTCTCAAAAAAAAAAAAAAATTTAAGATGTTAAATTGCCTTAATACATACCTTGTTTTGTCGTGTTTATTCATCTGTTGTGATGTGCAAGTCTGCCTTTAAACTCTGGCATTTCCCCTGTGCTGCCCTGGCTGGCGGTGATGAAAACAAGGGCCTACCTGCCGGGCTTAGAAGGGGAGAGAGGAGAGATTGAGCGAGGAGCCCAGGCAGGGGGGAGAGGGAAGGGCATCCGGCCCCTGCTGAGCTCCATGGTGCCTGTCAACGCATGGACTGGACAGGTGGGGCTCAGGGACATGGTGGAACATGGGCCACACTGGCCCTCCCTCGTGGGGGATGCCTTGGGCTCCGGGCTGAGTTTGCGAACCGTGGCCAAGTCTGGACACTGGGTGGAGTTGTGATGCAGGGGACCTGAGAAGCTTCCCTCATTCTGTTGATGAGACTCTGAAGCCAGCCCTCTCCCCTGAAGTTTCCCAATGCTCTGCTGCCAGCGGTCACTGTCGCGCTCTGCTGAGCTGCTTCCCAACAGTGGGAGAGATTGGTGAAGTGCCACCCAATCTGTCCCCTGCCCCAGCCCTTCATCGTCCTTGAGGAACATTCACTGAGCCACTAATACTGTTGTTTTTCTCTTAGGCATTATAGGCATTAAACTTTGTCGAGTAAGAATATACATGCAGAAGGCAGAATTGTAGGGGAGACAGGAACTCAGTACACAATCTTGAGTCAGAAAGGCCTGGCTTTAAACCCCAGTTCTATTTGTTCACTGACCTTGGTCAGGTTACTTTCCTTCTCTGAGCCTCAGGCTTCCCGTCTGTAAAATGGAAATAGGAATACCTTCATGACAAGGTTGTTGTGGAAATAACCTGAAACACTATTTTAAAAGCATTTAGCCCAGTGTTAGCCATATGGTGGTTTTTCAATAGATTATAACCCTTATTATTTTTATCCCGTAGGTAGTGGGAGCTTGCTGATGTCTTTATCCCAGCCCTGTTCTTCCAGAATGCTTGCCCTCAGTTACTGTGTTTCTAGAAGCATGCCATTCTTCCAGGTCTGATTCTGGTCTCCTGGCCCCAAACAGTTGCACTGAGGGACTAGCCAAGCAGCCTTTTTTGAGGCCAGTAATGTTCCCAAAGGAGGAATGTGGTAAACTTGGGCCCTGCATGGTGTGCACATATGGCAATGAATGACAGGATGGAAGGTTTGTGCTCTAGACGGGATGACAGGACATGGCCATGATGACACATGTCAGTACTCCCTGGCACCTCCTGCAGGACAGTCCAGGCAGAGGGCCTTCTCTTCACTAACGAAATGCCACCAGCCCCAGTGGAGGTGCACAGTGTAGGGACCGAGCGTGCAGGCTTCTGGAGCTGGGCTACTTGGGTAAATCCTGTTTCTACCACTTGTCACATGAGTGGGCAAGTTACTTAAACTTCCTGTGCCTCAGTTTCTTTATCTGTAAATTATACTTCATAATAGTATCCACTTCACAGAGTGGTTGTAGGGATTAAATGAGATGATGTACTTTGCAGAGTATGAGGGATGGACAAATACGCAGTCAATATTAGCTAATAATAATATAATTTGGGGTGGGGGACTCACCTGTACTTCTAGTCCAAATAGCAGAGCACCCCCTCTGGTGTCCATCATCCCCTCAAGTTGTCCTAAGGCTTTACCCTGTGGGTGAGCTGTAACCAGGTCCCACTGGGGCAGTGACCACTAGAGCCCCTTGGGTGTGCTCCAAGAGTACCTGCCCTCTCCAAGCTCCTCAAGATCCACATTGTGCCGTGTGGCCCTCCCAGGCGACCACCCTGGCCCATGCCGCAGGAGGATGAATGGCAGGCAGCGGGATAGGCATCTCTGGAGTTCATGGAGCCCTCTGGGTACCACAGGAGGAAGATTCCCGTTCTCTGTTGGCATAGCAACACATTTCCTTGGCCCAGGGAATAACAAACCTTTCCAGGCCACAGAGAGAGACTTCAGGCCTCTCCTCCTCCACATTCCACCTCAACCTTGAGACCTTGTAGAAGTCAAAGAAAGAATACCACAAATGAGACTTCTGGGAATCTCCTGTACTTCAGGTTTACTTTCTGTCTTTGCTGGTGCTTCTTGGATCAGAGATGGGAGACCTGGGGAGGTTAGAAGCGAAGACACTTCAAATCTTTAA